GCGGTATGTTGGATTATGGTCATCAAAAAACATATATCTAGAATTTGTGTGTAATACACTATTGAATGGGAAATACAGGTTTGTATGGCACGTGGCAATCAAATTGCTGTACAAAGGAATGCTGTATGGAATGGTAAATAACACAACACAGAAAGTAAAACAAAAAATAAAATCCATGATTGAAAAATGTAAGCTAAAGCCATGACTAGAGTTCACTCATTATCACTGACTGTGCTGTTCTCAAAGATTATTTCAGCAAGAATTTTCCTATGGATCTCCTATTTGCTTGCTTTACGAGTAAACATTTGCTGGGCTAATATATTGTTCGTAGAGTCTGTGGAAATTTAGGGATGGCAGTACTTCAGGAGAACATCTACTCCAAGCCCAATGCACCAAACACAAGATGAAATAAAGCTACCATGTGCACAGATACTCACCTAACCCATTCTTCAAAATCTCCAACAAAGGAGCTTCTGTTACATCTACATGAAATAATGTCCACATTTTCTTTCCACTTACAGATTCATTAGACTCAGAGTGAAAAAGTTTACTTTTTTCAATAACTAAACTAGTTATTCTTGGTAAAAATTACATTTACCACTCCTACTCTTCCTCTAGTGGGCACTGGAATACAATTGATCATCGTCTCCTTTGCAACAACATTTTATGAATTAGAAGACTTATGTCTCCCCTTTAGTACTTTCTAGACTAAACAAATCCAGTTCTTTAAGCCTTCCTCATAGGTCATGTTCTCTAAAACTCCTATCATTCTTGTTGCTCTCCTTTTGTCCCTTTCTAATGTGCCTATCTTTCCTAAAGCATGGTGATCAAAACCGTATACAGCTTTTCAGATGAGGTCTCACCAGTGCTTGAAAGAACAGAATAATTGCTTCATGCTTCTTTTCCAGTGTTACATCCATCCCAGAATTAGATCCAACTTCAGTGCAATGGTATTCCATTGTGCAATCCAGACTGCTTTTTCCATGCTATTGCCTCATCAGTACATGTGACTTCTCCCTTGTAAATGGACTTTACTGAATTTCAGACTACTTATTCCAGAATTTCTCTCCAGTATACTGTGACTGAAGCAGCTTACTGAGCAGTTTAACTGCTCCTACTATGTCTGCAGCTTCTTGCAGTTTGGTTCATTATCAACAATATTCTTTTTTTTTTTTCCTATTTCATGGCTGAAATAATTTCTAAAACAAAAACTCCACAGAAGCAGATAAAAGACAGACCTCTTTCAAACCCTGCTGTAAATGTTCCTTCTGTCTGACAATAAGTAATGGAAAATTTGTCTGTAGCATCTTATTTGTATCAGTTGCACACCCATCTCATGGTGATTTAATAATTAAAATATATTATTTATAGTTATAGCTCTTCTTGTAATGCATTTTACACTACATGTTAATTATACTCCAAATTAATGTATCTATTTGCATTCTACAAATATATGGTGGGACAGAGCTAAAGACCTTATGAATTCAAAGTATGTCACAGCTACCACTTTCTTTTTTAGCCACAAAGCAGTTACCCTATGTAAAGGAAACTAGATTTGCTTGACATAATTTGTCCTTGACAAATAGAGGCAGACTAAATATAGGATGGCTATACTATGTAACAGCCATCTAGACCTGCATTCTGTTTTAGAGTGGCCCAAAACTGTCACCTAGGAAAGAGCGCAAGAATAAAGTGAGTACATAGTGATAAACCATCTATATCTTCAAGAATGTATTGTAAAAATAGTTTATCTGGTCTAGGATAGGAACCACCAGTTGATCATTAGGAAAAGAGGATAAGGGTGAAGCAAGTATAAAGTGATCTGATATACACCAAGGTGGATAGATAGATAATGTCATACAGACTGATACAGACATCAAACTATTGAAAATTAACAGTAAAAAGACTACTGGCTTTCTATTGATTCACTGATTAATAATTTATTCCATAACTTTCCAGGGTCTAAAAAAAGTTATTCATAAATCCCCATATACATTATTTGTAAAGATGAGAACAGTGTTTGCCTCCCTTGAGCCTCCAAGGATCTCCTATATCCTTCATGAGAGCTGCTGAATATAATCATAAGTATTTCAGAGCAAAAATGAGAATACTAGTATTAGCAAATACTAATAAAATGTCTAGTATTTTATGTGGTCTATCTTTAACCATGTATCCATTTCCATAATTCATATAATTTCCTTAGTTTTTTAAATTCTTGAAGATGTTTTGATACAGATTTTCATTACGCTTCTTATCCGTTCTCTTCCTTTAATAATCTGTTATTGTGCATTGAAAAGTGCACTCTTCACTAAATGCTAGCTCTCTTACATTGTCTCGTCCCTCAAATTTACTTTACAGGTTCAGGCTTCTTGAATTAGTTGAAACCAGTTTCAGTGTCTGGGTTTCAGTAACACAGTTGTTACTTGTTTTTTCACATCTCTTGCCTTCACTCTTTTCTTCTCATTCTCTTCCTTGCACAAAGCCAAAATCTTTTTTATTTTATGGTCATTTTCAGACAATTTTGCCTTTTATAAACTCAGCCAAATTATCACTGTTAATCAGAAACAGAACTAAAACCAAGACAGTAAGTTCTCAACACCCTTTTCCACCTTCTGAAAGAAAAAGTTGTTCTTAGCATGTTCCAAGAACTCGAAGGATTCTGTGCTTTGTTGTTCAGGTTTTGGTTTGGGTTTTTTTTTTTCAGCTGGTAAGCAAGAAATTGAGTTTTCTCATACTTAACCAGTTCCTGTCTTTAGTACAACTCTATTGGTCATTCTAAAAAAAAAGCGTCATTTGCGTCTTTGTCTCATATCCCTGATTAAGTAATCTATCATACATCCCTGTTATAACTTCACCAATGTTCTTCCCTTTTATTTCAATCCAGACATTATGAATTTATAAACTAATTTAGTATCAAACTAAATATAAGCTCATATGAAGCAATGCTTTATTTTTCCCCAGGGTTCTCTACCTGAAAAAGAGTTACTTGCTTCTATAGACTGTTTTTTCTGCCCCAGATAAATACATATATAGATAACTTTCCTCCGTGTCCTACTGTAACTGATTTCCTTCTAAAACTCCTACAGTTTTCAACTCTCACTCATTGCAGTAGGCTAAAGAGTCATATAGTAAAAAGAAGTCTATCTTAAAATTTGAAAGTACTCTTCAGGCCAGGCTCCATCCATAGCTGACAAGCTCTCCACTTAACTAAGTATTTTCATTTGAAACAGAATAGTGGCACCCAATATCAGCTGGAAACACAATGGCATGCTGGCAGCATGGCTTACATACAAACATATTTGGATTTCATAACAGGTTTGTTTCTTGACATTTCATCTACTATAGCTTAGCTTCTTTCATTTGTATTTCTTGTGGTTTAGCCTGTTGTACGCACACACACACACACACGCATGGCATGTACACACACACACACACACACTATTTTTTGCTATAAGAAATTTTTAACAGTATCAAACCCAGACAACTCAGAAGACAATTATGAAAACATGTTCGCTGGCAGTATTTTAAGGATGAGATAAAGTTGTCACTAGAATTTGAAACCCTATTTTGGTGTGTATATCTACAAATATAATGTACATTTTACATATTTTATATATATATTACATGTATGTATATTATGCAATTACATAATGAAGTAAATAACTTATTTTCAGTACTATAACTTGATAGTTATAACTAGCTATAACTAATAACTATAACACTATTACTAATAGCTAAAGCAATGCTATAGCATTATTTTCAATATTATAACTACAAAATTAGAGCAGATGCTTTATTTTTGCTGGATCTGCTCTTTCAGTTTTCCAGAAATAAAAGGGGCAGCATTTTCTTTTTGGATACATCTGTTTCAAACACATCAAAACAATAAATTTTTCAGTCAAAGTGTCTGCTTCACCCAGTTGTCTATGAAGTACTGAGCTTGCACACCGGACACTTAGCAAATTTCTGCCTATTGACAGAAAAATTCTGTGTAAAACCACATTAAGTATTCCAAAAGACAAAGTGTTGGAATGCTAATAAACCACAGAACTTCACAACCTCCTCATTCCAAATGTATACAGTATAAATATTAATTTAAAACTGTGTGACAGTAAGTTTGCTTCAATCATTTAGTATCTTATTTTTCACTTAATTTTCATATAATTAATATTCTAAAATATTACAAATAAAACAAATTAGTTACGTATTTACAAAAATATTTTTGTTTGAAAAATTTGATTTATTTGCAGGCAAATATTGAAATTTCCAAAATCAAAACAGTGTTGGGCTTATGGATGTTTTTTCACCCTGGGAGGAGAAGAAAAGGTTCAATGCTAGCATGCTCAGTTAACATCCTTTAGAAGACCACATTACTAGGACAGTTATTTGCTCTTTCCAAAACATAGGACTCTTAAGAATAATATTCTAAAAAAGAATAACACTGAATTACTAAGCATTTTTAAACTAAAACATCTCTGGAATTTGGTTTATCTTGCCTAGTTAAAAAGGCATCACTACTGATTTTAAGCCATATCTGTTATTTGAAACCTTCAACAGAAAGATAACTTTGAAAAAACAGTTTAGAACTCTTGGCTTACAAGCTGCTAAAGGCAACTGCTGCACAGGCTTTTCAATACTAATGATCAGTGCCTTCACTTTTTTAAAAAAAATTTATTCCAAAAAGCACATACTTCTGAAATCACTAGTAATCTCTAGTAATCACTAAGTAGGAAATTTTTCACTGATTTTCTACGAGAAAGTTGAGTTATGAAATGCTGAAAATAGCTGCAAAACTTCTAAAGAAAGACAGGGAAGAAAAAGACACCAGACAAAAAGCCGAAATGTTGAAATTGCTTCATGGATTGAAATAAATACCAGAACTATTGGTGTCAGTTCAAAGAACACATCACTTGCTTATTATTGCTTTGGAATATTTATTTTATCTTGAATATCAAAATAGTAAAGTTATAAAACATAAGGTAAAACAAAAGATGACTAACCTGATCTGGAGAGGGTCTGTGGTTGGAGTGTTGTGGCCTCCCAGGAGACCGATGGTGGTGGTGGTGGTGATGGTGGTGGTAGTGGTGATGATCATCCTCGTAGTTATCTGCCATCAGTTTCATTCTGTTTTGTGTCTGTTTAAGATGTAAAGTGAGACAATTCTATTACATGCTGGAATATATTACTCTAACAGTGTTTTAGGAAGATCTTAGCTCTCTCTTTTTTTTTATTTTTTTTGTAGCTGTAAGGCTCTAACAATAGAAGTCTGAACTGCTGGCTCACAAAGGAAAGAGAATAAGAGAAAGATAACAAAATATGAGAACACATCTTTTGTCTCAGTTTTCACATGAGTAGAATTGCACAAAGTCAGAAAAGGATATGATCAAGGATGTTGTGTTTGAATGGTGTCAAGAAAGACATCCAGCTTTTTTATTTACTATTTTAGTAAATTTACTATTTTCAATCAGTTTCCTATTTTTTCCAGTCTATTACTATGTCTTGCCAATTAACTTGCAAAATCTCACTGAAAGGAATATTAAGTGTACTTAAATATTTACAGTTAGCTACCAAGGCATGTCAACAACAATCATGAATAGTTATGCTAAAAGCTCTATTTTGGCTTAATTATTTTAATTGTACACCAGGATCACCCTGCTAAACAGTAAGTTAAAAGACTCAGAAAACAGAGTGATACAGACACATGCCCTTAGAGAAATAAGTGACTATGGAACTTGACACATGTTACTGAATGAAAGTAAGTCTTAGATATACATCTTGGAAAAAAAGATCAACATTTCAGCTACTGTCAGGTACAGATAAAAAAAATCTATGTCACCATGAGATAACAAGATACATCACTGCTCTTTATCACTATTACAATTATCCCATACCACGAAGTACCTCAACTGGAATAATTCAAACCTGGCTCATAATACCAAAAATATCTTACTACCAATTGCCCAGTACCAGTGGGTACAGTACTTATTTTTTTTTGTTAGTAGGATTGAAGGCTGTCTCAGGAAAACTTGTTAACATGTAATCAAGTTGTAGTTATTTTTGCACTAACAAAACCCAGAAGATAATGCTGTCTTACTCTTAAGGACCTCTTCCAAAATTAAAAGAACCAATTAGAGGCATATGCAGTTACTATCATGCAGATAATGGAGGGAAAGATAGCAGTCTTAACGCACTTAATATCATCTTCAGAAATCTCACCTCAGCCCTATAGGAGAAAGGCTGTTCTTGAAGGACCATTATCTGCTTTGTGCCAGTTCTCTACATGGACATCATTTGAGTTGCTCAAGCACAAGCAAGTCTACTTTGCAGATAGACACTTGTGGTGAAGAGTAAAGATAAAAGACTGAAATCAAATCCAAAGACACAGCATTCTACCCATGCTCCACAGTAGCAGGATTCACGCTCCTTGTCAGTGAGGACATTGACTAAACACATTACTCCAGGACTTTGCCCAAACTAATGAGTTCTAAAGGATCAACCTTAACAGATTAATTTAAACACCACTCATTTGTTCAGCTATGTTCCTATACTAACAGGTCTAACCAGCTTCTAATTCGAAGTGCCCAGGAGATAGCTAGTGTCCCATAGCTGGTATGTGGTAAACTTACTTCCAGGAGTACTGCAAATTGATCTTCCTATAAGAACACTCCTATATCAAAATCTTCATTAGGAAAATTTCACTGGTAAGTATATTTTAATAGAAAACGTAAAAACTCAGAGATTGCTATTAAATTACCCAATTTGATTGTTCTTTGCTAAAGTAGAAAAGAGATTTGGAAAAAAAGCAAACTAAATATTCATATTACACAATATTCGAAGTATAACAAAATCTAATGCAAGGAAAACGATGATCCACAGGGATCACAGGAAATCCTGATGTGTCTTTTTTAGCAACTAATATTTTTTTTTAATGTCACAATGCTTCTCAAGCACTTCACATGATGTCCATTAGAAGGATCATAGAAAGCTATTTTACAGGAGGAGACCTGTACTCAGTTCAAGTAAAAACAACCAACCAATCAAACTAAACCAAAACCTCAAGGCATCCACAATAACAACCACAGATCGGATTTGCACATGCTTTAGCCATTGCCAGACTCCTTCCGAGCATCTCTATAGCACTAAAACAGCATCTTCTCAGTCTGTTACACAATAAACATCCTCCACAGGTCAAGTGGTGGATTCCTTGATCAGGAATTATGCACTGGCACTATATGATATCGTTTCACATTTTTTAACACTATTTTCTGCATGGTTGGAAACATTTAATTTTCTCCTCTTGGATAAGAAAATGGAAGCATACAGCATGAATTTCACTTATGAATTTCTACTGAATTTGCCAAAAGATTAACTCAGTCTGAATCATCATAGTTTGTCTGTTTGTTATTTGATTCAAAGAGGAAGGCCTTTTGTTCAAAGAGCGGAAAAGATGGAGAATTAATAGACAAATAATAACCCACTTACTGTAAACACTGCAATATCTGCCTCTTTGGGGAAGCTCCTAACATTTTATTAGTTTATTTTGTTATCAATGAACAGCCTTAAATTTCCTACCTTTCAACTGTATTCCATAAAAGAATGCAAAAGTTAAACAAGATGATATATGCAATCCTAAAAGTGTCCCTTGTAATGAGGTGTTGGGGATTAGACGTGTCATGGGATAAGAACTGTAAATGAATGATGTCATCTTTCTAATTTGGTACTGAAATATAAATAAACTACTTCTAATGTTTCTTCCTTTTGGATGCCAGATTGCAGTAAAATGTGCACAAAGAAAAGTTAATGCTGTAGGAGGCTTCCTTTAGTGTGTCTGTTCGGGAAGAAAAACATATAAGAAATGTGAAATGAGAATTTCTTTCCCATGACTTGTGATTGTCATTCATTTCATAAAATTATGCCAAATATTTTCCAAAACATTACTTTTAAAAGCTTTTTATTTTTATTTGTTAGCTCTCCACAACTATAACTAATACAATTTTGTGGTTCTGTTTCTTTGCTTTAGCTACTCTCAGAGTGCTATACTTTCACACTGAACTGTATTTTCCAGGTATGCTTAGCTTTGACTTAAGGAGTACAAAACACAGAATGATTTGAAACTTTTAAAAGCAGGACTTTTGAGGAAGATGAACAAGAGGATTTCTGAAGGAAGAACAAATGTAAAGAGGAACAACACAATTCTTTTCAGGTCCTTCTAAACAAAAATATTTAACATTAATTCTGTTTGATTCCCTTGCTAAATCTTTTAATGTTTAGTAGGCTTTGAAATGCCAAGTATATTTTTATTTGAGGAAGAAATTAAGTAACCACATTGAAATTCATTCAGGACCCCAGGGCTTTACACCCCTACTCCTACATCCAAGCACATACACAAACACACAGAAGGCGTATACATTTTAGGACGTTGGTTTATCAGACAGACAGTAAAGTGTCATGGTCTGGGTCCCATATCAACATATTAGGACACTGCTTCAGTATTGAGGGAAAAATACCACCTACCGACAGATTATTCCATATGACTTTTCGGGATGATTGGGAAGCTCAGTTTTGGAATGTATAATTCATGGAAATTAGACTGGTGATTATATATGCATTTAAACTGTGCCATATCTAATTTGCATCATATGTTACACTGCAGAAGTTACTCCATACCTGAAACAGTTATATTATATAGTTCAAAATTTTATTCACATTTTCCCCCAGAACTCAGAATCTCAAAATTTAGATAGCCACAACTCTGACAACAAAATTATCATATCAAGTTATTTTTGGAAACGCCTGGTGAACACCAGGCCCACACCTGAGAAGGAGCAGGTTTTCATTTGGATTTATACTAAGAAAGAAAAAAATGTTAACTTGTAAAATGCAACAAGTAATTAACTGCATTACAGACCATGTATAGCCTTATTTGTTTTAGCCTAATCAGTTTCCTCTGATTTTTTTTTTTTAAATTTATGGGCTACATTCAATAAATACTGCATCCATTTTGAAATAAAGGAATGATAGAGGAATTAAAAGCAGTTTAAATCTAGGTGCATAGGTATATTAACCCTTAGGGCTTGAAACAGTCGTCTTTGATCATTCAGTATCACTATTTGCTAAGCTGTCAGGGTCATGAATGGTATGTGTAACTGAATTTTTAACCCACTTACCAAAGAATTTATGATCTAGCACTGTAAGAAAACTGACAGATATTTCTTGTCCCCCTAAAATTCTGGTGAGTTTAAGTAAGGATCTACTGAAGTGAAATGAAAGTCTTTGATTGACTGGTAACAGACCAAATAGCTTAACAGCAATCTGTAACTGTAAAACTATAATATTAAAATTGTCTTTTAAAAAATATTTTAGCATGGTGGCAATAGGGAACTATGCTTTGATCTGTCATCTGGATCAAGTTAACAACAAAACACTCATGAACGAGGTTCAAATGAGGAAAAATAATAAGATTTGTTGCTCTGGGATATAAGTGTAATACCATTCAATAGCTATTACTTTCCTTTGGATTTTCTTCTCAAACTCTCTTCACTAAACAGAATTTGAAATATTTCTAGAATATTCACTTTCAATAGGGTAGGATTTTTTCCTTATATAATATGGAAAGGAGGCAGATATAAGGTCTACAAGCTACCCTGGAGATATCCTGTAGGCTAATTATTAAAGCATGGAATTTAAAATCTAGAGGCCCACATTCTAGCTTTGATTCCGCAATGGCCTCTTGTTATCATCAATAACACAGAACCTCTATTTCTTGCAGTCTCAATATTTGAAACTAAGCACGCTAATATTTCCACAAAGCACTCTGAGATCTTCATGCGGCAGACATTTAGTTCTAGTCTTGTTGATTTTTCCTAACAAATGATTTAATCTGAGCTTTTTTCTCCTAAGACAATGATTTTAGAAAACACAAATAAAATCATTTCGTTAACTTTGAAATACAAAAGGTAATGGTCTAAAAAATTGTGTGCTTAAGACTATATAGTTCACCAAGTTTATCCAGAAGTTGCATAAACTTAGTGGAATTAACCTGGATTTCATGAAAGCATGTGTGACTGCAATTGGTGTTTCGACATGAATCCAGTGCTTCAGGCCTTAATTCCATTAGCTGAGGGTTAACAAAATG